CTGCCAACCTCGAGTTCTTACAAGCGATATGAAGATGAGCTCAGCACCTTAGCAGACAGCTGCTTACTCATGGTGAGGATTTAACAGGAGGTAGTTACTTAGTAACACCTGTGAGTATGTGCCATCGGTATACTGGTATTGGGGTTTTCAGGAGCTCCTTCTATGCCTGTTGATCAGCCAGTTCAGAAATGCAGTAAAAGCAATCTTGTTGATAAATCCTCTAGTGTTGATTCCAGCAATAACTGCCATTGAGCACATTGGTGCTATTTTGCAACTCCATCTCCTACATCTGCAGCTCCTGCAGTTCAGAATCAACAGGCACTGTTCTGGGTCATGAACCAAGGGGGATTTCACACCTCCGCTGTCTTTGCCAGGAATCTCCCAGGGCAGAGACACAGCAGAGTGAAACCTGAAAGTGCTAAAAACTCACAATGAGAAGCTATGCATCTTTTCACGCTCTTTTGAATTCCTTGCTACATTTTTCTGATGTGTTGCTGTTGTGAGCCGAATGTTTCAAGGCTGATCAGTTTTCAGCTTACAGGGAGAAATACTTTTAAGAGTAATTTCTGTGAACCCCCCGGCCTTATTAAACATCGGCACCCACCTTTTCTACATGGTTTAGATTCTGTAAGCAGCGTAAATTGCTTCAGTAAAGTACTTAACTGAATTCATGTACACAAGTAAGTCAATTTGAATAAACCGCTTGTGCTGCACAGAGGTCAAGTGACCTCTGCTGCGATGCGTTGAAAAGTCACATGACCTCTGCCAAGACACACACTAAAATTCGCTTGACCCCTGCCGGGTCCCAACCACGTCAATTAATAATAATCTAACAGTTCTCATTAACCCATTATCAATTTCATATTTGACTTTGTGCAAAACAGCAAAAAAATGTAATTTTAATTTTCCTGTTATGTCAGGGTAATGAAATGGCATCGTTTCACTTGTGTATACGCGGATGAGGTCAAGTGTGGAATAAGCTTTTTCATTTTGTCAACAGTAAAGAAGGAAAGACTTTTACACTTTTAATACAGGTTTCAAGTCAAGTGAAATATGGCACATATTAATGTCAGATTCAGATATTCACATTTTTAGACATACGGTGTATGCAACTGCATTGCATTTACATAGGACTATACGTTATGTTACATTTGTAGAGATTTCATGAGTGGTAACTAAATAGAACAAAATCTATAAAGATCATATCCACCCCAGACATACTTCTGAAAGCACTGGAGCAATAACTCGTCTCCCCCAGAGTCACACAAATCTGTCCGGGCAGAGGAAGAGTTAGTAAACGCTATGGTGAAGGGGTGCCACATCCATGGCAGCTGCGCAAAGCCACTCAGGAGCTGTGAGAATATTCGCTGGGAGTAGTGCTATCCAGAACACCAGGATATGCAGTTTACAGCATCAGATTTTACTGGTAGAATGTAGAGTCATGCCTGTTTGCTCCCACAGCGCAAAGACATGCTGGGAGTTTAATTGGCTTCTGGGAGAACTGGCCCTGGTGTGAGTGCGTGCGCGTCTGTGTCCGCGCCCTGCGAGGGACTGGCGTCCCCTCCAGGATGTGCCCTCCTTGTGCCCGCAGGGATAGTCTCCGGCTCCCCAGTGACCGTGGAGAGAAAGTTCAAACTATACAACGTTCTAGTATGACCACTTTTGGAACACGGTGTACAATCGTGGTCATCTCGTTACAAAACGAATATTTCAGAGAAAGGCTCCCACACATCCATTCCTGGATTTAAAGGAATATCACGCCCTGACAGGCTTAAAGAGCTAAATCCTTTCTACAGCACAGCAAATTGCCATGGGGCTTACAGTCCTCCAGGGCAATGACAGCTGCAGAATCTACAGTACAGACCCCAGCACAGGACACA